GGGGTTCATTCATTCACTCATTCATCCTCCATTTAATCATCCATCCAATATTTCTCATTCTTCAAACTTAGGCCAGGTGCTGGACTAGCTGATTCATGCATAAGATAGAAATGGTCCCTGGCCTCACAGTGCTGTGGTGGGGAAATACTGGCAGCTGTGGGAGCGGGGTGATGGAGAGCAAGACCTAGATTTGGCAGTCAGGGGAAGCTTCCTGGAGGAAGTCACCTTTGAAGCTGAAGCAGGAAGGTTGAGGAGGACCTAGCCACAAGGAACCAATTTAAAGTGTTGTAAGCAAGTCAGTGGCGTGGCCAGGTGTGTAGCTGGCTTTCTCAGAGGCAGACCCTGAGACAGGGATCCAATGACATGCAGTTTCTGTGGGAGATGACTCTAGAAAATACCAGTAAGGGAGAGGGGGACATGAGGGAGGAAAGGGAGGTGGCCATGAAGGTGTGTGGTCAAGGGCATCACCACTGTGTGTAGATAGAGCTGACTCCTGTGGGGGACTCTGGAGCCGGTGTGGAATGTGTCCCTGGGAGTTATTCCCCAGACTTGGAGGGAGCTGAGTGCCCATATGCCAGCTCTCATCTTGGTTGCAGATTTTTCTGAATGGGGGTGGTAGGGGGCACGGCGGCCATTCCCTAGCACTGCTGGCCTCTTGAGGGCGCAGGCAGAGTGGGCCCTGGTGGGGCCTCTGGGTAGGGATGCAGGAAGTGTCGGGTGGAATGAGCGGGCGAGGACAAGGGCAGGGTGCCATAAGGCGGGGGCACACAGGGGTGGGCAGGTGCCTGGGGACAAGTGAAGAGGCCAAAGGCGGAGTGTCCAAGCAGAGACATTGGCAGCCCGACTGGGAGGCTGTGGTCAGGAGGTGCAGCGACAAGTGTCAGGATGCTGAGTGGCTTGGGGTTTATGTGGAGGAGTGAACCGCAGTGGGTGAGCAAGGGACTGCCCACTTCTCAATGCTGAAGGAGCCCCTCCCCCAGCACTCTCCTAGCTCTCCCCCACCTCCCTTCCAGCAGGCCCTCCTCTGTCCAAACAAGTCAGGCTTACTGCACAGGCTTGTCATCAGCTCATCAGAGACCACAAAGGCATGTGTGGAAGGAGATGACGGTGCTGTGGCAACCGCTTGGAAAACAAAGGCTGGGCTGTGGTCCGCAGGCAGCTCTAAGTCTTGGAGGGTGTGTGTGAAAATGAAAGTCAACCTGACTCCCTGCATGCCCACATGTGTCTCCCCAGCTCGTAGGGGGCACTCAGTAACAACCTGTCCAGTGAGGGGGCACTGTCCCCCCCTCTCCGCTTCATGCCTTTGGGTGACAGGGGCTGGGGACAATTGTGTGGACATTCGAAGGACATGGGCCCACTGAGGTGGGGTGGGAGGATGACAGGGGAAGGAGGTGGGGGTGTTGAAGCAGTGAGGGAGATGGGCTGGTGTCATCACCCAGGGCTTTTAGCTACTGGCAACAGAAGTCAAGCCTGGATGACATGGCAGAGAAAGAATGTATCAGCTGGGACTCTCAGAGTCACAGCACGGCTGGGCCACCTGAGTACCCAGGAACAGCTCCCCCAAATCCTGCCTCGGGACTGGACCCATGGTGGGTACTGCTGTGGAGTCCGAGGTGCCCTGGTTGTTCCTCTGACCCCATAAGTCCTGGACACTCCCCAACAGCTCTGCGGCCACTGTCCCTGGAATTCCCTTCTGCTGGCCCGGTAGCTCCAGATTCCAAGGGAGCAGGGTTGGGGCCATAGCTCCTGAGCAGTGGTTATCAGCACAGTTCCTGCACTTGGACTCTCAGTCTCTGCCTCCCTTCCCTGGAGGGTTTTTTCTGGCCACTGGTCTCTGCTCTGCCTATCCGTTTGGTGGACCAGGAGTGAGGGGAAATTAATGCCACCCTCCAGGAGCTCTTAACTGATGAGGACGGATGGTGATGTCCTGCACCCCAGTCCTCTCCACCCTGGCTGGGATAACTCTGAGACTCCTGGAACTCCCCAGAACTTAGCTGCAGTTGCCCACAGCAGTAACTTGCAGAACAATGCACTTTTATCAACCACCCTCCCCTCCCAGGCTCTCTTCCCCTCTCACCTATTGATGCTTCCTGCATAAATTACCTGCACTCAAACCCTGGTTTCAGCACTCACTTCTGAGAGAACCCCAGACCTGGGCAGGCGCATCTGGCCAGCAGACCCATCCATATCCTCGCCTAAGTGTAAAAGAGGTTGGGGAAGCAAGAATCGGGCATTGTCAGTTTCTAGGGGTAGGTGGGCTCTGCTTCCCATCAGGACTCAAAACGTGGTGTGTCACTCGGGATCCCAAGAGGAAGCCAGTGGTGTATTCAAACTATAACTATAGGTTTTTAGTCAGGGTCTCACTCTATCCCACAGGCTGGAGTGTAGTGGCATGATCATGGCTCACTACAACCTTGACCTCTTGGACTCAGGCAATCCTTCCACCTCAGTCTCCCAAGCAGCTGGGACTACAGGCATGTACCACCATGCCTGGCTGTTTTGTTTTTGTTTTTTGTAAAGATGAGGTCTCAATATGTTGCCCAGGCTGGTCTTGTATACCTGGGCTCAAGCAATCCTCCTGCTTCAGGCACCCAAAGTGCTGGGGTTATAGGCGTGAGCCACTACGTCTGGCTCAAATCACAATATTTTGAGGAGAGTTTATTCACAAAGTCTTGGGGGTTGGGTGTAGGGGTAGTGCAGGGACTCAGGATGAGTTCTAAAGGGATGAACAGTTACTGGAGGGAAGGAGAGAGGCATGCAGAGGCTTCTTGGAGAGACACAGTGACACAAGCCCAAGGCTATCTCACCAGGGACATGGAGGGGTGCAAATGCCCTGCTCTCTGCACTCCGCCTCCCCAGTCTTCTGCCCACTGACCAGACTCAGAGAGGTCAGCCTCCAGGACTGTAGCAGGGTGGAACCAGGTAGGGAATAAGACCTGGAGGGCATGTGGAAGGTGTTAGGCACAGTGGAGAATTTCCCAGTCAAACAGGGGACCAGAGATGTGATCGAGTTTCTCAATGTCCAGGTGGGGTGGAAATGAGTGTCATGTTGGGTCTTGAGTTAGAGCTGAGTGTTCCCCAGTAGCTGTCTCTCAGTAACAGTCATCATTCTTTCTCCTGACTGGTCATGCCATGTTGTTTTCCCTAAAAGCCCTCCTTTCCGAGCCCTGTGGGTCTGTCCTATGCTGTGCTCAAGGGGGAGTACCCGGGACTCCAAGAGACCTGGCTCTTTCTGCCACTAATTTCTGTGGCCACAGTCAAACCCCTTCCTCCTGCTGGGTCTCATTTCCCTCTGTGTAAAACCAGATGACCTTTCATAGAACTAAAAAGGCTCACGGTCCCTTTCAAAACAGTTCTGAGAAGGGAGTAAAATCAAGGTTGTCCTTTTGGAGAAACTGAGGCCCAGGGAGCAGAGGGACATGCTGGAAGTCTTGAACAAGACTCCCATCCTTTGTCAGGGCTGTCCCTTGAGCCAGGTTTGCCCTGGCCCTGTGGATATGCTTTCCCCAGGGAGGCGCTGCCTGCCCCCATGTTTATCTCCATGTAGTGTAGCCACCAACATGGAGTGCAAGGTCTCTCTTAGGTGAGCGTGTGGCTGTGAACAGAAATGTAAGGACAGAGGTTTCAACCAGGCTTCTAGGTCTTGCTCAACCCTCTTGCCCACCTGGGGATTTAGGGGCAGTGAAATGTCACTCCTTGGTTTTAGGGCCTATGGGTCTTGAACAAACCAAAGAGCTTAATTAGTTGGAAGTTTCGAAGAGAGTTGGGAGGGCCGTGCCAGCTCCTCTGAGCCCTCTGACAATGACAACATGTGACCACACACGCACCACATCTAGGAAGCTCCCCGTATCTTCCCACTCCCTCCATGGGCCTGTGGGCTGAGGCCTGTGTCCCAGGCACATGAAACAGAGATTGTTTCATTTTATATGGAAACCCACGACTTGGGGGTTTATTGCTCCAAGGCCAGGAAACCTCATGTTGGAACCGATGTCCCTCCCCCTGACATTGTGAGACAGGGAGAGCTTCTTGGCACGCGCAGATGGGTCTGTTGTAAGTCGAGTTGTCAAAACTGGTAGCCCAGGATCAATTAATTATCTTCTGTTTGGCTTGTACCGTGTTTGCCAACAAAGGTTTGCTTTCACAAAATGAAATTAATTGCCACAGTTAGAAGTCAAATGACCTAGCAGCCCTGGGCTCACATTTCTGCATGAAATATCTGACTGGGGTAGAGCTGCAACCACCCCCTGTAAATAAGACATGTGTTCTTCAGTTCACTATAGTCCTCGCCATTCCCTATTGTCTTCCAGCAGGGAGCTGAATGTCTATTGCCACTTGTTACCAAGTTTATGCTACAGTTTTCTTGAGTCTGAGAATTATGAGAAGAGTAAGACATTTTGGGTGCCCCCATTTCCAACAAAAGTGGAACAAAAAAGTTTACTGACATGACCTGCCTGTCTGTTTTCTACGGGTTGCTATTGTGGAGGTTTATCTCTGAGGTGTGTTGGGGGCCTATACTCTCCTCTGTCACAACACCACGTGTGGGTCACTAGCACATCGTATTTATTGGCCCTTCATTAAGATGTGTACAATGAAACAGATCAAGGTAGCCCTTCATGTATCTGAGAGACAAGGCCTAGTGGGCTAAGAAGTCAGAATAGACAGAGTGGCTGGACCTCAAGAAGCTGGGTCTAAGGCCACGGAGAATCTATATGCCAGAAAGGGCTCAAGGGGAGGGTCTCAAAGCCAATCGCTTGGCAGCCTGGTGGGAACAGCTCTTTGGCCTTCCTCCCAGCTCCTGGCTGAAGCTGTGGGCCATGCAGCAGTGACTGTAAGGTTACGGAATGTTGGAAAGTGAAGGCAGTTTGGACAGGGAGACTCAGGCTTGGCCTCTAAATTCTCAATTTTCCATCTGTCTAATGGGACTATGAAGATAGCCCCTGGGTCCCACAGTGAGAACCCCTCTAGTCCAAACATAATGGTCCTCTCAAAGCTCACTGTTCTTACCACACAGCCCCACTCCGGTTTCCTGGAGGCTCCCCCAGAAGTCCTTGGGGGGCATACTCCAGACAAGTCCCCCCTGCCAGGTGGGGCAAGCACTTGGCGTGGTAGCGGAAACTCAGGTAACCGTGGCTCAGGTTGCATTTCACCTCATGTGAGCCAGACTGTGCCTTCTGGTCACAGGAGCCCAGGAGGTCATCATCCCAGCCGTGGTCTGCATCCCAGACCTGCACCCTCAGGGGCCCCCCTGTGACCAGGAGCACGTCTCCAAAGTCCAGCCGCGTTGTCCACCTGGGGTTGTTATTGTTCCATATGGTGTCTGTTCTCAGCTCCCGGCCACCAAAGAAGACCTTCACATAGGCGTCCGTAGCAGTGGTCCCGTCACCCCACAGGTTCCATGCTTGAATGAGAGTCACTTCCAGCCGGGCCAGGCCCCTCTGCCGTGGACAGCAGTCCTGGGTGGTGACAGCCGAGCCGTGGCACATGCACTGGCATGAGTCGTGGGGATTCTTCTGCCGCCCCGGTGGGCATGGCCGGCTGCAGTCCCTCCAGCGTGCCCTGTCGGTCAGGTACTTGTTCAGGGCCTGCTTCAGTGGCTTCCGCCACGGGTTTTTGTTCTTCAATAGCAGGTGCAGAGGCTCCAGGGTATAGTCCACCAGGTCGGGACTGTGGGGCAGCGATTTCACCCATTTTGAGAACTGCTTGGGCTCGGCATGATTCCCGAACAGCAGGTCGTGCATGAGGGTGTGGTGGCCGCCAACCACTTCCACATGGCGCTCCCGGTAGGCCTGATGGAAGGAGGCTGTCATCTTGTGCTGCTTCTTTTTCTCCTCACAGGCCTTGGATTCAGCCGAGAGGCTGGCATGGCCACTTATGCTGGCCTGGGCCTCGACGGCCAGGCAGTCCCCTACCTCGTCGGCTGTGAGCCCTTCCAGGGCCAGCTCGCAGGTGCGTAGAGCAGTGAGGGCGGAGATGCGGCCACCCAGCTCCACGCTCCGGATGTAGTGGGTGCCGTAGTTGGAGATGAGCCTGTGGTATTCGGACTGGGTGGAGGCATTGAAGTAGGGGGGCAGGTCCATGAGAGCCCTCTTGAAGTCAAGGTTCAGCGGGGGACTGTGTGCTACATGAACGCTGTAAGGACAGAGAAACATCAGGTGGGCCCAGTGGTAGCGTTTTCCCCATTTGACAACCCCTTCAAGATTGCCTGAGGTCACACATACGTGGGCAGAACTAGGGCTGGAACACGGGAGTCTGGCTCTAAACCCAAGTTCAGAGGCATGGAGCTGGCAGGGAGGCTACTGTGTCACCCCTGGGTGACCTGGCACTTAGTTTAGGCATTTTCTCATCTCAAAATAAAAAGTTTTTTCTTTCCTTTTAATTTTCTTTCTTTCTTTTTTTTTTTGAGTCAGAGTCTAGTCTCTCTCTGTTGCTCAGACTGGAGTATAGTGGTATGATCATGGCTCACTGCAGCCTTGACATCCTGGGCTCAGGTGATCCTTCCACCTCAATCTCCTGAGTAGCTGGCACACGCCACCATGCCCAGCTAATTTTTGCTTCAATTTTGTAGAGATGAGGTCTCGCTATGTTGCCCAGGCTGGTCTCGAACTCCTGGGCTCAAGTGATCTTCCTACCTCAGCCTCCCAAAGTGCTGGGATTACAGGTGTGAGGCGCAGCACCCGGCCTAATTTTCTTTTCTTTTCTTTTTTTTTTTTTTTGAGTTGGAGTCTCACTCTGTCGCCCAGACTGGAGTGCAGTGGCCGCTCCCGGCCACCGCATCCTCCATCTGCTGGGCTCCGGCGATCCTTCCGCCTCAGCCTTCCAAGTAGTTGGAACTACAGGCGCGCGCTACCACATCCGGCTAATTTTTTGATTTATTGTAGAGATGAGGTCTTACCAAGTTGCCCAGGCGGGTCTCGAACCCACGGGCTCAGGCAATCCACTCACCTCAGCCTCCCAAAGGCCCGAGATTATAGGCTGAGCCACCGAGCCCGGCTTAATTTTCTTATTATAAAAGCAATGATATTGCACTGATGTTGTCTATCTAACTTTGGAATCTAGTCATGTGGCTTTCCCCTGTCCTTCTGAATTGGGCCCCAGGTGCCCAGTTTCCTCACAGCTCGGGTCACATAGGCAGGAGGCTCCCTGCCTTGCTGTTCAGAAAAATGTGTCCTCCAGGTCTGAAAAATCAGAGCAGGGGACTTGGGGTTGGCCCATGAAGACCACTCATTTCTTGGGTGTGGAACCCAAGTCCCAGACTCCCTGATCCTTGGGGCTGGGGTAGTGACTGCCAGTGCTCAGTCGTGTATCCCTGTCAGGAACATTGGTTGACTGGATGGACGAGGCCTAGAGAGAATTGGGATGCTCAAGATCACGGAGCAGTGAGGAAGGAGGACCCAGTCAGGTCTCCTGCCTCTGTCCCCGTCTAAGAAGGACCCCAAGAGAGACCTAAATGGTACCATGTTGGGTCCCTCAGGCACTGTCTTGCTCACTTCTCCTCCTCCTGGACTCTCACTGGGCACTTTCAGATTTGGGACCTCATGGATGGTCAGAGGCCAAAGAGCTGAATCGCCTGCAGTCTCAGGACCAGGAAAGCAGTTTCTTCCTGGTAGGAGCAGCCTCTGAGTGCCCACCCTGACATGCCAGGGCTCCTAGACCACACGGAGTTTCCCATCCCTTTTGCAATTCCCCTGCCAGTTACCCTCAGCACTCACCTGTAGAAGCGACACTCCACCGAGTCAGTGCTGAAGACGTACTGGTCCTGGTGGTTCTTCTGGGCTGCAAAGTTAGCTGCTTGGGAGTGGGAGCCAGCCACAGTCACGTGCACGTTGCTGCCAGGATGGGGAGTCACGTCCAGTCCGACTCGCCAGTCATTGCGGATGCTGCCAGCTGCCTCCTTAGCCACGGCTTCAGTGGAACTGTCTTTGGCCTTGATCACACGGCGCTGGCAGCCAGTGCCCTGGGCACGCCAGTGGGTGAGCGCCAGGGGCAGACGCTGGAGGGCACCCTGTTGCAGGGCATTTACACAGAGGGTGCAGGTGTTGTCGGGCCGCCGGAACTTCTCTGTGTCCACCAGGGAGGAGCCCGAGCGGCGGAGGGTAGTCACATCTACTCCTTCCCCAGCTAGCAACGCGCCGGGTACCAACTCAAGGTTACGCTTGCACTCTGAGCGTGCGGCTGTGTAGCAGGGCGCAGGGGTGGGTGGAGGCAGCAGGAGGAGGATGCCCAGGAGGAGCAGTTGGGAGGCCATGGAGCTGTAGAGACAGGGGGCATTTGGGCTCTGGGAAGCTGTGGGCAGAAAGATAGGGGATGGTTCTACCTGTGGATGACTGGGTCACATGGAAGGGGAGGGAGGGAGAGGCTGTGATGGCTCAAATCACTGAATATCAGAGCTGGAGTGTTCCTTACTGGCCGAGTGCACCTCCCACATTGTACAGATGGACCCAAAGAGGGGATGCGCCTTACTCAGGGTCATATAACCAAGTGGGGTCCTTGTTAGAATTCCACTATCCAAGCACTAAGGGGGATCTAGATTGATGGCTCTGTCCGCAGAACACAATGCTGCTGGTGAGGAGAGGGCTCTGGCCACAGAAGAGGGGATGGAGTAGGCGTCACAGGGTTAGGGAGGGGTCTGGAGACCCAGGAAGCCTGGATTCTGGAGAAGTGTCATTTTCAGCACTAGAACAGGCCGCCCTTTGCCCACTGCAACTCTCATTCTCCCCCTATCTCTAAGCTCTCTCTCTCTCCCACTAAGCCCTGAAAAGAATCATGCTTCTCTAGCCGGGCTCAGTGGCTCAGCCTGTAATCCTGCGCCTTTGGGAGGCTGAGGTGAGTGAATTGCCTGAGCCCGCAGGTTCGAGACCCGCCTGGGTAGCGAGACCTCATCTCTACAGTAAATCAAAAAATCAGCCAGGCGTGGTAGCACATGCCTGTAATTCTGGCTACTCGGAAGGCTGAGGCGGAAGGATCTCCGGAGCCCAGCAGTCAAGGCTGCGGTGGCCGGGAGCAGCCACTGCACTCTAGCCTGGGCGACAGAGTGAGACACCAACTCAAAAAAAAAAAAAAACCACCCTCCTCATTTTGCCTTGGGGCCCCTCCCTCTGAGCCTTCAGAAAGAACATCAGCCTGAGCTCTGGAATTAGCACCTGGATGACCTTGACGCTTGCTCTTCAGAACCTCTCCCGACATTCCTCCGCTCCTCTTTGACATTCCCTGCCAAGCGCTACAGAATTTCCAGCAGTGACAGGGACTTACCTGTTGCCTGCTATTAGGCAATGGTGGGCTAGAAGGTTCTTGCTCTTGTGGAGGTGGCTCTGGAACTCACCCAGGCCTGCTTATGTCTGGAATCTCCTCTGGCTAACTCTGTCTGAACTGGGCTCTCAGGGGCCCTTCCTCTCAGTACCCGCAGGGATGGCAGGTTCTAAGAGAAGAGGTTTAAAGGGTGTGGGCACTCCCCTCCACTCCCTCCTCACTGGAGCCTCTATGCCCTGCCCAGGGGAGCGGCTGGAAGGGTAGAGTCCCAGGCAGCATGGCCAGCCCCAGGGAGGAAAATAGGCCAAGGAGAATTTTCAAAGGTACTGGGATTGCACCTCCCAGGAGGTCAGTTGGGTCCTAACCTTCATCTGGGGAACTCAGTCTCCATTCTGACCCTCACCGTGTGCTCTCCCAGGAAGCCTGCTTCTTAGAAACCTTTAGCTGTCTGCACCTTAAGAGGCCTTGAGATTGCGCACACTAACCTTTTTACTTTACACATGCGGAGACTAAGGCCCTGAATGGGCATGAGTCTGCCCATCAAGTTAGTGATAGGGCTCGGGTCTGTGACCCAGGTGACTTATCTCTTGGGTTATAGCACTTCCTGCCCCATGGGCTCTTCCCCCAAAGGGGCAGTCCTACTCCCTCCCTCCGGGGCTCCCTGCCCCACTGACCTCCCAGACCCACCATTCCCCGCTCCCTCCCTACCTGGAGTCTTGTGGAGAGGAGCTACTGCCCAGACGTCCTCTCCCCGCCAAGGCTCTTGGATCGGTGGTGTCAGCCCCCAGGCAGGCCCACCACAGCTCATCTCCCTGGTGCTGCTCACATCACTTCTGCTTCCTGGCCCGCCCCCAGCTGTGGTCACAGGCCCCTTGCACACTCCCCTCCCACCAGCACCCACCCCACCTCACTCCCTCATCCGGCCCTGCTGACAGCCCTCTAGCAGCTGGGCCAGAGACTCATTTGCCAAGCAGAACTGCCTGGCACCCAGGGACTTGGCAAACAGGTGGGGAAGCAGGATTTGGGGATTCAGCCCTGGATTGGTAACAGGTTGGCGGGGACAATTTCCCTGCTTCTGACACTTCTGACACGTGGATTCACATGTGTGAGATGTAAGAGGAGGTGAGATCTTGTGCTTGAGAACCAGGCCACCTGGGTTTGGCCAGCTCGGTTATGCATGAGCTGTGCTGCCTGGCAAGGTTCTTTAGGCTCTCTGTGCCTCAGTTTCCTCAGTGAAATTTGGCACCATAATAATAGCATAGACCCCAGACATGGTCATGAAGATGAAATAAATCAATACATGTAAAGTGCTCAGAACTGTGCCCGTCCCTCTGTGAGTGTTAATACTGTGACCATCTCCTCCTCCCTGAGCAGTGGAGAGGAGAGATGTTCTAACCTTACTGCCCACTTCCTGACCAGTCTACATCCCCGCCCAGTCCAGGATCTGAACCTCAAACAGATTCCCTGGACAGGGGCTCCCACTCCCCCATTTTATGTGGATGCCCACTGGCCGCCATGCCAGTCTCTGGCCCTGGCCTGAGGTTGCAGGTGCTGGTGAGAGAGATCTGGTGGGACCCAGAGGCCCAGGTCTTCTTCACCCTTTGTCTTGCCTGAGGTCAGAGTGGGGTGAGGTTTCCATGGCTTGAGTGACTCACGGGGTAATGTCTGGGGGGTACATATCACACCAGTTCTGAGGTGGGAACAGTGGGCAATGAGTGGCTGTTCTCATGACTTCCAATTCTGTGAGTGACAGAAAAAAATAGCCACAGGCCCCCAACCGCATGTGATAGCACATCTCATGGGTCAGGTCTCAGGGTTCTTCCCTTGAGTTCATGGGCCTCGCATGCTCTTATGGGAACAGGGGCTAACACTGCCTTCTCGGAACCTGGCCCCATCTTCTCTTCTCAGTGGTCTCTCCCCACTTTCCCAGAAATTGCAACCTTCTGACCCCATCTCCCATCTCCCTGTGGCCTGACTTGGATGCCAAGGCCATAAGGAGTTTGCTTCCTGACTGTGCTGGGAAGGCCAGTGTGAGAGACATGGAAACCCTGAAAAAATCTATATAGGGAGTAGGTATTTAACTTCTTTCTGAGTGTTAGTTTTCTTGTCTATAAAATCAAAGGGAGACCTTTCAGATTCTACAAATCCTTCCAACTAATGATAAAATGTGCATCCAGCAGGTTTGGAATGGCTTATAAAGGGGCTCGTGTCCAAGAGATGCTGGTGGTTGTTGGGGGGCTCGTCACAAAGCTGAGATGGCATCGACATTTACAGCTGGTTTGGGCTTGTTGAATTGATGGCAACTGTCCTGTCAAGCTGAAACTTAGCACTTGAAATGTGCATTAAGCGGTTTTTTCTCAGACACAAGTTTCAACAAGCGCACCATTTGTTGAATCACTGAATACCATCTGTATGGTTTTCATGAATAGATGTATCGTAATATAATTACATACTATATAATTCACTCATTTAAGGTATAACATTTAATGGTCTTTAGTACGGTCACAGAGTTGTACACTTGTCACCATAATCAATCTTAGAACATCTTTATCACTCCTCAAAAGAAACACACCAAAGGATGCCCTGGAAAACCTTGGGGGCCCAAGGACAGAACAGATACAGGGGATGAGACCACTGCAGAGCGCCTTTGAGAGAGCAGTGCCTCATGGAGTCATGGAATTGGGGCCACAACAGAGAGCATCCACTGGGGCAATGCCCAGTGGATTAATGGGCACAGGCCTACCCTGGAGACCTCAGGCTGATAGAGTCACCAGCATGTGACTCCAGCCTGGGAGAGCTGTGAGGCCTGGACTATGTGAGCTGTGCCCAGCAGAGCTGTGGGGACAGAGCTGCCAGGAGCCCTGGGGGTCCAGTCGCCAGCCCAGTGTGTCTAGAAAGTGGAGCATGGGCTCAAATAAGTTTATTCTCAAGCCTTAAGATTTAATTATGTGTGTCCTGTTGGGTTTTGGACTCAGTTAAGACCTCTCACGACTTTCTTCTTTCCAACTGCTCCCTTTTGGAATGGAAAGGTGGAACCCACACCCATCCCACCATGGTATTTGGAAACATATAACTTTTTGATTTCACAGGTTGATGGCTGGAGAGAAGTTTGCCTCAGGGTGATTGATACCTTGAGTCTCACCCATATCTGATTTGGTTGACATTCAGATGAGACTTAGACTAGACTTAGACTATATTTACACTTGGTGCTGAAATGAGTTAAAACTTTTGGGGCTGTGGGGATGGAATGAATACATTTTGTACATGAGAAGGATATGAATTTTGGTGTGGGGCAGGGGTGGAATGCTATGGTTTGAGTATTTACATGCCTCTAAAATTCATGTTGAAACTTAATCTCGGATGCAATAGTATTTAGAGGTGTGGCCTTTAGAAGGTGATCAGGTCATGAGGGCTCACCTCCATGAATGGGATTAGTGCCCTTACTAAGGTCAATCCCTTTCACCATGTGAGGACACAACAAGGTGTTATCTATGGAGCAAAGAACAAGTCTGCACCAGATACAGAATCAACTGGCACCTTGATCCTGGACTTCCCAGCGTCCAGAACTGTGAGAAATAGATTTTTATTATTTCTAAATTATCCAGGCTAAGGTATTTTGTTCTAGCAGCAGGAACAGACTTTGACAATATTCTACACAGAAGGAATGAGGGGGCTAGGTCCTGACTGCATCCACTTATATCAGCTATACCTACTGCATAAACTACCGCCATGCACAGTCATCAAAGAGGCCCTTTAACAAAACAAACTTAGACAGTAACTATGCACATTAAAGATGAAAAATGCAGTCATAGGTGCTGTTTGCTGTTTTCTTCGCCCTGTGATGATTCTTTGGTCCCTTTTTTTTACAGGGTTGTGAAACTTTGAAGTTCTTCTCCCTCACCCTTCAAATGTGTTACCCACAGTTCTGCTCATTTTGCCGTTAGTCTCATAACATGAGTTCAAGAGTCTTTCCTCTTTTTCCATGCTGTGGGAAAGCTT